TTCCTAGTGAGAAGAGAGATATTGCAATGACTTTTTCCTTTGCTCCTGTGTCACTGTCTTCTTTGCCAGTTGGTTTTGCAAGCTTGTGCTGGTCTCAGCAGCTTTGGGGCATTGCATCAGAGGAGGGAGCTCTGTATCCTGATCCCGGGGCAGGACCCAGCCAAAGTCTAAAAAACACTGCAGTGCAGAGAGGGGAAGAGAGGGTCAGAGTCCAAAAAAAGGGTGGCAGAGTAAAAAAGGGAGGGACACGTTGCGGAGTTGAAGGTATGAAGATGAAGTGGCCGGGAAGAGGGAGGACAGGAGAAAGAGAGAACAGCCAAGTGCCAGGATTTATTAATCAGCAGCAGCACAAACGAAGTACACATAAGCCAGCCTGAGGGTGACATGATGAAATATAATGAGAATAAAAGTGAGGAGTTTCAGAAAGTCTAAAAATACAGTTAGATTTTAAATGTTTTACAGTAAAAAGCCTCAGTTCGTCAGAGGACAGCTAGAGGGTTTCCGGTCAAATGCTTCAGGTACTAAGTGCCTCATTTTCGAACAGGTCTTTCAGTCGGCACATGTGAATGTCTGAGTGCACTTGTTAATGGTGAGAGTGTCCATTTCCTCTGAGTGGGTGAAATGTAATATACAAGTAGAGCCTGGGCTAAAGAGCAGTAGATGGGGAGGGCAATGAAAGGTAGAGAGCGAGAACAGAGAAGATAAGCATGGTGTTGCTTTTTGAGTTGATAGTGATGACGCAGGCGGGTGTCTGATGCCTGTGTGTTGACCGCCACACTCTCAGACCCCCGAGGTTGTGGTCTGTGAGGTGCTGGCACTGATTGCCAGCTCTAAGAGTCTCTTCAACCCAACTGGACCTTTGACATGTTTGGTACTGTGGTGACCAGCAGGTCACCTGTCTCTGATGCTTGCCACCCATCTGGACAGCTACCCTGGAGAAAAAAAGTGCATATGCCATTTATGTGTATGTGAAAGTGTGTGGGCACCTGCATGTCTGGCTGTTATTTGTGTATTGGCAGTGTCTCCCGATGCCTAAATTGCTGATATGGTCCCAAGAGGCCATAGGATTGACAGAAATCTCTGGAGGGGGAGCGGCTGGAACAAGTTTGCTCCATTACAGCCAACGCTTTTAGCCTGATTTGTTGGCTCAGCAGCACTCACTTATCAACTGATCAATAAAGGGGAGTTGGACCAAACTTCTTTAGGGGGACCAACGCTTACAGCACATCCATCCACATTGTTCATCCACAAACTTGAGGCTGCTTTGCCTGTTGTAATTTGCCCTTATTTTCTCTCCCTAGTTTTCAACATAAATTGCCAGGAAATGCACTCTTTATTCAATCATAACCAGCCTCATATGTATAATCCAACCCTTAGCGAACCTCATGAGAATATTGAATCCGATGTTTTCCCCTTTCCACATGACTGGGCAAGCTTGTGTGCAAGATGGATAATTCATTTAATCAGCGATTAAATTTGGAACTTTGATGAGCAGACACTGTAAACCACATGAAAAGGACAGATGAGCATCAAATGATTTAAAAATGCAATAATCAGGCAACACATTTAATTAATTACCTGAATTAATGAATTATTCAACAAGTATTTCGATAAGCAATTAATTGTTTAAGTAAATTTTCAAGCAAAAATGCCAAATATTTGTCGGTTGCTGCTTTAACCATTTTCTACTTTTCCTTGTCTTACATTAAAGTGAATATTTTTGAGACGACATTTGATGACATCTCCTCGGCCTCCAGGAAATTTTGATGGCCATTTTTCAAAGTTTTACACACACAATTAATCATTTAATTGAGATGACAAGCAGCACATTAATCCTTAATGAAACTAAGAAAATAATTATTAGTTTCTGCCCTAAAATGATGAATGAAAGCAAGTCGTGGAGTCAAATACTTGATATAGTGAGAGAGAAAAAAGTTGCTGCTTATCAGTACTGAAAGAATAAGTTGATTGATCCCTTTGTGTGTGATCTAATCGCATTATGGATAAGTGAACCATAGACTTAAATTAGACTCTCTTAAGTTGCCCTCTTAGGCAATGACTACAAACTTCAAACTTCACTATTGTGAGTGAACAGCACCCAGAGAAAGTCTGGAACTTCTTTGCAGCAGAAACCCACTCGGCTCTGAAGTTACACAGTACAGCAACATTTTGGGCAAACCTCCCACCCGGCCGCTGCTCAGCTTTTCAGACAGTGAGTGGGCGACTGGTGAAAGCCCAGCATTAACTGATCACCACAGATCGGGCCAGCTTAATGCAGTCCTGTTGCCCTGTGCCTTCAACTGTTAATTATTGCAAGCATATAAACAATAGTCAAGTTGCATTAACAAAATCAGCCTGGGTAATCTTTTCTTAGCTGCGCCATTATGGAGATGAATGTCACAGGGCACTATTAGCATTCTGCAAGGGAGAGTGGGAAGGATTGTTTTTTTCCCCAATTTCCACTGAGTAGGTGTAATGGTATCAGTTCCTCTCATCTTGTGGAGGCATGTTGCTCTGGGGGGAAGCTCATCATCCCCCTTTGTGTATTACAGTTTCCTGTTATACTGTTACTGTGAAAAACAAAAGCTGTTATAGATGTCCCTGTAATGGCTTGTATAGGTTTCATAGCAACAAAGAGATAAAGCTTTCCAGGGTCAACAGGGAATCCGACCCATATACCCAGCGATCAGTGGGGGAACTGCAGAGTTGCCATGGTGACAGATACAGATGTAATGATCTTCATTATAAAAGCAGTAAATTATGTACACTCTGCACGTTGTAAATCTGTACATTTGACAGAGCCACTGTGTCATTCTGACGTAGGGTTTCAAATCATGAAGCCGCACTGCTGTCTCCACTCACTTTTAATTGCTTCCAGGCACAGATAATGTGTCAGTCTCTCTTCCTCCGTTTTTTTGATATGCTATCTCTGCTGATGTCTGGAGCTGGTTAGAAACTGTGTTACTGGTTGTGTCTCTGCACTATGACCCCGAAAGCCTGGCCTGACTTAACCTGAGCAGGGGACACTGGGAAACACAAACCTCTAGGCCACCTTTGTTAGAGGTCAGAGCAGCTGGGCTTGGGGTTATCACATGAGTTGAGCCTCATTTTCACATCCTTTCTCTTGTCTCTAGCTAGGGACCCTCAGAGATTTGTGTATGCTTTACACTAATCAGCACCGGCCATGAATAAAATAGCTTTCAGATAATTAAATCTTATTATCTTCTACAGCTAAGACATTTAACAAAAGGCAAAGGCTTGAACTTGCTTCTTTTTTATACGGTCTTACTGTCTCTGGACATCCAGTGTTTGATCAAAGTTTCCGTCTATTCACTGCAGGGTTTAGCCATCTCCCTTCTCTGTACCCCTTTCTGCTCCTCGTCTCTTCCCTCGGTTCAACCCCTCCCTCCCATCATGCCAGGCTCAGATCTCCTTACACCCTCCAGTCTTTCATGTGGATGGGGGGTGGGAGTCGCAGAGGAGAGGATGGGGAAATTGGCCACCCATTCCAGATAAAGATTACAGAGGAAATACTGTTTCTGTGGTGAAAATACACAAATAGATAAGTTTGAGGTTTTTTGTTAGTAGCTAGGATCCCACACAGGATGTATTTTACCCAACCATGTATGCACTGGCAGCAATGTGATGTCTTGAACGTGAGTTGTTTTGTTCTGGGGTTAGCCATTTATCCAAACACTGTGGCTGAGGTCTGTGCACTGGAGAGAATGGGACATTTTTGCACAGCTTGTTTTCATTGATCAATGCAGTGGCTACTATTGTGTTTCTGTGGGAAAGTAAATGAATGAAGAAAGTGTGAAGAAAAGCTCAAATGTTTAAGTACGAACACTTAGGGGATTGTGAATTTATTCTGCCTTTGCCTTTGACGACGGTGCACTCACAAAAAGGGCTGCGCTTGTGTCAGTGTGGCCCCCGCGGTCTGGGTTTTACTGCTGAGTACAGTGATAAGATCTTCCTCTGCGGCTTGCACTAAAATGAGGCCAGAGTTGTTTTCCTATAAACAAATGCATAACAAATTCACAAACTTAATGCCAACTTTTTTGTGGTGTATTTTCTAGGAAAGTAAAGGTGAGTCATGTAGTTTATCCATCAACTTTGTCACACTGAGGTGGCAATCGGTGTGAAATATTATTGCCTTTGAACAATAATAAGCCATTGTGATGAGCCTTAGCAGGAAGAAGTGTTTCCCCATATGTACAAGAGTGGTGATCAAAGGTCAGAGGTCAGGTTGAGGGCAAGAAGATGGATGGGAGGCATGACAGAACTGCGTTTGCACACAACAGATCACACTCCAGGCACACAGTTCAGAGGAAGGCAGGAGGAAGGGTGGTAGGGCTGGGTGTAGAGGCAGGATGGGAATGGAGGACAAGACAGAAAAAAACAACAACAACAGTAAAGTGGATGTCCAGTCCCAGTCCACTTCCCATGTCCTCCTGACATCATTGCGCCACAGCTGGCTTTTAACTGTATTTTTCACATTAAACATCTGCCATCCGGACCTCTGCTGTCTGCCTTGGATCATAGTGTGAGCTGGTCATGTGATTGGATGCACAGCTCAAATATAAAAACCACAGTCTGCTTGACATAAACAGAACAGTATGTCTTTTATGATGCGGCTCACAGCTGCACAGCTGTGTTTGAAGAGGAAGGCTATTTCTATCCAGCCTTTGTTTTATTTCTCTCTTTACCTCCTCTCTCTTGGTGTCGTCTGCCTCCAGCCCTGCTGCCCTTATTTAATGGTCAATCAGTTCTATTCCTTTAAACAAAGTGCTCTTTTATAGCTGTTTTTTTCGCCCATAGATTAATTGATTAATTGACTGTCGAAGTCTGAAAGCAGAGAGTCAGGGTGCACTCTGGCCTTTGACCCATTAAACCCTTATTTATCACTATCAGTTGACCTCCATGTTATTGCACCCTCAGACATGCAATGCTTTACCGATAACCTTCTGCTCTCTGTTTCTCTCCCTGTCTCTTCTCTCCAGACTCATACTCGGCAGCAGGCAGCGAGGGCAGCATCTCCACCTCTGTGGCATCGCTACCTCCTCAGGCATCAGGTAGCTCTGCCCCCAGCTCCCCGGGCTCCAGACGCTCTGTGAGCACCCTGAAGAAATGGCTCACAAACCCTGTCCGCAAACTCAGTGCTGGGGCCTCCGCCAAAGGGGAGCTTCAGGTCCGCAAACTTGAAGGGAAGCCTCCACCTCTTCCGCCCCACAGCCACAGCCAGGACCTAGGCAGTCCTCTAAGGCCTGATGACACACTCACCATCCTACCTGTCACCCACAGAGAACTGGTGAGCAGTGGCGGAAGAATAAAGTCAGATCTTTTACTTAGCTAAAGGTTTCAATGCCACATTGTAAGAATACAAGTAAAAGTCCTGAATTCAACATCTTGCTTAAAACTTACCCTAGCTAACGTTGAAGAAAGAGATGGGGTGGGATTTTCTCCAACTGAGAAAATCCCACCCCATCTCTTCAGGCCTCCCTCCAAAGTCACTCCCCTAAATCACATTTTTATGCACAGTAAGTGCACGGGCAGAGTGCGTGCAGGTAGGTAGGTAGGTTTCATTTGGATCAAATTAAATGATTGGCTGTTATTATATTACAGTCCTGCAACAGCCACAGATACCTGATTTCATTCATTTTTGTGTCAGAGCATTTAAAGAGGTGTTATTATGCTCATTTTCATTTTTAAAATCTTTAAAACACCATATTTTTCTCATACTACACATTGCTGCAGCTCCTCTTTTCATCCTGTGTGTTGTACGCTCCGCTCTTGAGCTACAGAGTGATGCATCTTACTTGTACAAAATCTTTGTTGGGAGTTGCACATGCGCAGCTCCTAGGTAAGGACTACTAGCCAAGCAGAGAAGGGCGGGTCATAAGAAACAAGGTAGTGTGATCCAAATCAAAGCCGCTCCAGACTGCGACCGTAACCTAGCAGATGGTATAAGTAACTCACAAGTCCACAACCACACAACATCATTGTTCCACATCTTACCATAAACCACTAAAAAAATCACCATATTTCAACTCAATTTTACATAAAAATTGGCCAAACAATTTGAACGTTTGCTCAGTAGCTTTCACATCGGGTGCAACATTAGCATTATAGCTATAACTTTAGCTGTGTTAGCCAACGTTTACAACAACTCCGCACTTGAACAGTCTGTGAAGTTACATTGCCGTGTTTATTTTAAATATAATTCACAACCAATAAAGCATACTTACAGGTTGTGATTGTGAATTTCCAGGCCCAAACAGAGTCGGAGTTGCATTGTCTTTTAGGACTAAACGTTGAACTGTTGCTGGTGTTCCGACAATCTATGCTGCCTTGCCAAAAAATGCTACCATAGCGCAAATCGATAGACTCGACTCTACTCGGCCCTGCTCCGTTTTCCATTGCAGACAGTTCCCAGAGATAGAACGTAGCTTGTCGTCATAGCGACGCCACACACAACTGCCGCAACGTAATGTTCAATGCGATGACTCACACACCAGCGACCCACACAGCTTTCTCTTTTTTAAGTTAAAACGTTTCAACATTCCTCAGAATGTAAAGACAGATAAGCGGTATGAAAACCTTCCAGCTGTATTTTCCTCTGCCGTTGTTGCTGCAGTGGTCTGTGTGACGGTGCGAGCAGAGGGCTCTGTCAGCTGGCGGCTGGCCGGCCTCACAAGCTCCTCCTGCGGGTTGGCACAAGCAACTCCGAAAATATTCAAGCACATTTTTGTTCCGCCATTACTTCTCGTAAAACTGTCAATATTTGAAATCTACACAGCTGATTTCTCACCTCAAAACTTCTCAGAAGTGGATTTAATGATGAAATTCCATATGAAAACTGTAAAATATAAAACTTTCTGTTGCTGGCCTCTGTCTGGCGCAATGATGATGCAGTGAATAGTGACGATACTCTCTGACCAATCAGAACTCCCTTTGGGCTGGACTTTGACAAAAAAGATATATAGCTCAATAAAGGAGAGGGGATAAGCCAAAAAGCATAATACCACCTCTTTAATTTATTGATTGCTGTCGGGATGTAAAGAGATTTTTAACAAATATAACAAAACATGCTTCTTTGCCTGCCATAACTTTTTATTAGCGTCACAATAAATCGAAGGTACCAAAGAATAAGCACTCAATAAGCAGAATGGCCCATTTCAGAACAATATGTTATATTAAAGGATTATAATTAGTGATACGTTAATCTGTAAGCATCACTAATGTTGTAGCTGGTAGAGGTAGGCTAATTTGGACTACTTTATATACTGCAGGGTAGCTTAATTAATAATAATACATCATAATTTATTACTTGATTTATATTTTGTATTAACAATCTGAATCTGCAAAGTAACTAGTAATTAATGTCGTTAAATAAATGGATTGGAGTAAAAAGTACAATATTAGCTTCCAAAATGTAGTGGAGTAAAAGTAAAATGTAGTATTAAGTTGAATTAATAGAAATAATCAAGTTAAGTACAAGTACTTCAAAATTGTACTTAAGTACAGTACTTGAATAAATGTCTAGTTAGTTACATTCCACCACTGGTGCTTGGTCAGATGAACTAATCAAACAAGGTATTGCATGCTGCTTCAAACTCACCTCATAAGTAAACTCATCAAGTGGAATTATTCCCAAGGCCGTCTTATAAACTGGTTCTTAAGTGAACATGCAAATGTTCAATCTTATATAAATACAAACTAAAGCTAACATCCTGACTGTAGCTTGTTTACATTAGGTGGATCAAGAGACACTGGTTTGATGTAGAGTTTCTAGCAGATTAAATATCATGGAAGATGGTGATGTTGTTATATAACATCAGCCTGCAGGAACTCACGCCACCATGTTTTGTGATTCATGTGCTCTCTTTTGCTGTTGTGCAGATGCTTGTGTGTCTGTGCATGTCTCTGTGTGCCCAAATGCAGGAGCCTGCTACAGACATTTTGCATCATGTTTACATGGTGTCATTCTGACACTGTGGACATGTGTCTTTGTGTGTATGTGTTCCAGGAGTGGAAAGATGGCCTGGCGAGCCCCGAGGACCTGTCCCCGGCTACACTACAGTCCCCTAGCTACATAACTGACTCGCTGATTGGCTGCACGTCTCTGCCAAACAACCAGGTCTGTCTGCACGGTATACTGTACAATTAACACTGCCTGACCTGTTGTCACCACATATTACTGTTGTCACAGAGAAGTAACATCAAGCAGCCTATGTTTCTGTCTTAAATGCAAGTAGTAATTTTGAAATGATGTGAAAAAAACCTGAGTGTACCCTTCTGTTTTATAGAATCAACGGTTAGCCATAATGAGATTGACTTTAGGGACTAAAGTCATTTATAGTTAATTTTAGCTCACAGTTTACTGTAGACAGTCTCCAAGAGGTTCTCAGTGAGCACCCAGCCTGGCAGGGATGTGATATCAGTACTGTTTGTCTCCATGGTCCTCCAGCCAGATCTGGAAATGACTAACCCTCCTGCTGCTGGCGGATCTCAACTATCAAGCAAAACAAACACACAGATGCGCACAGGAGCGCTGCATTCTGCAACCACACATGAGCCATGCAGGCATAGCACACACACATGTGCACACACACGTAAGGGAGTCTAAATGAATACAAGGCTCTCTCAGAGCAGATCGATGCACCAGAAGACAACAGGGCAGAGTAGACAGTGACCTGTGTGATGCATGACTCACATTCGACATGTTACAAAAAGACATGCCTGGAGATAAAAAGGAAATAGCATGAAACGCCAGATGTGATGAAAGATGACTCCACTTCTGTGAAGTGACAAAGAACACTATGTGTGCACATACGCTTTCATTTCTTCATAAAACAGTCTGAGTCAGTTGCTCGTAGGCAAACGAGCGTCTCAGTGTTCAGAGTGTCCCTTTTTACTGTGAGACGGAATCATGCAGAAACTGGGATTTGCATGAGCAGCAGTTATATTGCATGAATCAGCAGTGCCTGAGCCCCATCAATATCCAGCGAAACAATAACAATAATGCATTTGAGCGTAGTGGAGTGTCTCCTGTTGGTGAATCGACACCACTGCACTTAAATCCTAATTTCAGTCTCAACAACACATCAAGAGCCATTAATTCGATTACATCAGAGGGATGAGGTCAGCGCTTTGGTGTTTTTACTGCCAATCTTTCTAGAGAAGGGGGGTGGTGGGGTAGAGAGATTAAATTATGTAGGTCAGTCATCTGTCTCTCTATCCCACCTTCGGTGGCCACATGTCCAGCGTTACATTGTTGTTTTTTTCCTTTTCTTCATACCATTGTCTCTTATTTTACAACTGTAGCAGAACATTGTTTTAAATGAAATGTTTACTGTTTCTTGGTCAATGGAAGGTTCATGTGATTGTATGTCAGCAGCTGAACACAGTTTGTACGGTCTGTCATCTCGACCCACAGATATGTAAAGAACAAGTTAGGAACAGTTTCTCAGTAAAACAGGAAAAGAAATGGCCAAAGGAAACGAGTGGTGGTGTTACTGTGAGGTCTCTCCAAAGCCACACTGGAAACAGTGCTGTGAAATTGCAGTTTTCAGCACTGTGTAACTATGTTCCTCCTTGGCACAGAACCACACCTTTGATTTGTACTGGCATGTCTAAGGATTGATGGGCCCTTTGAAAGGTCTGCTCCATCCCATTAAAAAATAAGACATTGCTGATGCCTGTGCTGGAGATGTATTAACAGTTTCAAGCATCAGCAAATATTCCTGGGTATGATGCCTGACAGCTAGTGATAAAAACATCACATTTTAAACCATGAAGAGTAACATTTCTTAATATGAACATCCTTTTAATATCACATTAATGCTGTTTACTTGCAGCATTTTATGTGTTCCAACAGTAAGTGGTTTGTTAGTCCCTGAAGTAGCGGTGCAAAACTTAAACATAGAAAGAATACTAGAATAGTAGATGAATATTGTGCATTTGGACAACAATGTAAACAGCAAAATATTCTTTCCACTTGAAACTTGAGGTTTAAGATGCTTTTTCAGATTTTGAGAAAAACGAATTAGTTACATCCCCGTTCTTGATTGATGAAATTGTTAAGGTGATATTTTTTAAAGATCCTACACAAAGGCATGATCTCAGCTTTGACCAAATCTGTTGTCAATGTTTCGTGGTGCTTCTGAGTAGAAAAACAAAACTCGCAACAGAGGGAGATGAAGGGAATTTTTCCTGCGCGCTTTGCCACAACACATCTGGAAGTGATCAGGGAGCCAAGGAGACCTGTCAGCCAGGCTGGAGAACTCCTAGCGGGGCAAGATGAGCTGGGGGAGAGAGGGTTTTTATGGAGCCTCTCTGTCTCTCTTTACACCCTGTAAGGGGTATCTCTCTCGCTCTCTCACACACACATCACTGCGACAGAACAGAAAGCTCAAAACTAGTAGACGCTCACAAGTTCATCATGGAGACAGGTAGGTGAACAAGTTGAACAAGGCCAAGGGACAAAAAAACCCTGGGCCAATCTATATATTTATTTATTTCTTCATTGGGCAGCCACCTGCCAGAGGAGCCTGAGGGATCAGGCAGGTTTGTGCATGTGTTTAAGGGGGGGAGGTTCTGCTTGACTAGGACAATGGAACACAGAGATTAATTGAAGACAAACGGCCGTCTCTATAAATTTACACAGTCAGAAAAGAGTGAATGGCTTTAAAATAAATGTTAGAACAACATGGCTAAAGACAGAGGGACAAACTTTGTAACTACGTTTAATTGTACAGACCAGTGGCGGTGAGTCATTGTACAACCATACAAAGTGTGCTTATTATGAGAGAGGAATGGGTTACACAAATATAAGGGTCATATGCAGTTGTAAAGCATGCAGCCATTGAGTTGGAGGTCATTTTCTTCTTCGCAGGCTTTGTAGTAGTTTGCACAATGACTCTATATTTGCACCAGGACCCCCACAGGATATGATATCAATTCCAGGAAAAAACATGAAAAGGAAGCCATGTACTGTATATAACACATGAACACAATCGATTAGATCAGGGTAACCTTGGGTGTATCTTATGTGCATTTCTATTTGCGGCCAGAAATATTGACGCTGATGTTGCTGTTGTAGTCCTGTAGAAATAATTTTTTAAATAATACTGTGTGATGTATTTACACAAGTATATGAATCCTCAGGTGACAAAACAAGAAAATATAATTTATCAATTCACACATAAATCAGAAATGTAATGGCTTTACCAGTGGGTGTGCAGTACTTGTATTCCCTTTCCTCTAAAGCCAAAACTCCATCAATAACCTTCACAGCTTTATTTGTCATCTCCTACAGCTATGGAGCCTGTTGCTCTCTCCAACTCTTTTCAACTCTTTCTGTCCATCTATCTGTGGCGAAATGCATAACATGGATCATTAACTGTGACTATCTGAATCGGATCTTCTTATTATTCAGTCTCTGTTCCTCGTGTTCCTCGTGTCTCTCCGCTCTCCCTGGTCACCTTGGCAACCTGCATCATTATCATCTCTCTCCTGCTCTTTATCTCCCCTTGCATACTTTATTCCTGACATGATTCTAATTACTGCCACTGGACCTTTGATGAACTTTTTCTCTGTCTGTCTTTCTGTCTGTATGTCTCTGTCTCCTCAGGACACTCAGTCCACCAGTGTTCTGCCAGATGACAGCGGCTCTGTCTTGATGGACGACACCTCCAGCCAATGGTCAGCCGCGGCTGACACTGAGGAGGAAAGGAGGAGTGCCTTAGAGAAAAGCATGTATGTGTTTTATCAATTTAAAGATCCAAACTGCTAAATGAAAAGTCAGGGGATCACCAATTACCAATTTCTTTTTTTACATCATTTAGGAACCATGAATGTTTGCACAAAATGCCAGTCCAGCAGATCATCCAATATTTGCCAGTGCAGTAAGAATATTTCAATCTGATTCCAATAGAAATAAACTTACTTTGACATCATGACATGTCACTGCACAAAAGCACAGCTATGAATAATAAAATCAGTGACAGCTGTACTCCATTTTGCTGCCTTAGTTTCAGGGTCCTGGTGTTGTGATGCTCGTTCAATGTCACACTGTCATGGCTTACTTGGACACTTAAGTAGAACAGACCCATCGTTAATGTGATTACTTTTCCTGCTTTGACGAGACAAATGTCTGCTGTGAAAAAGGCCTTACAGGGCAGGTTGCTGCTCTGAAACGGAGAAAAGTAAAACGTGAGCAATGCTCTGTTCCATGTTTCAAATCAAATCGTATTTTATTTACAGTGCAAAATCACCATGCAGCATGGATCATTACACTTTCCAAAAAATACATAGGATCAAATACAAAAGAGTAAAAATGTAATACACAGGATAAAACACAGAAGGGTAAAAACAGCAAAAATAAGTGAATAAGGAAGTAAAGACTGCTACATTTATGAATTCTAGGAGAGGCTGTGGTGATGTGAGAACAAGTAGGTTTTCAGTCTTGACTTAAAAATATCTTCTGAACATGCTTCCCTAACATATAGTGGAAGGTCATTCCATAAATAGGGAGCACGGTAGGCAAAAGCTCTGTAGCCAGCTGATGTTTGCATGTTCAGCTGATCTGCAGTGCGCTGACTGAAATTCTCATTACGCTAATAAATTTGATTTATGTAATTGAAATTGTACCAGTTGAACAGTCTCCATTACTAAAAAATCGCATAGTCATTGATATCATGTCCTTTCTGGAAAATTATCAGGAAAAAAAGATTTTTGCAGTGTGCAAAATAAATCACATAACTCTAACATTAACCCTCCTTTGTGTTTTTAAAGGTATGTACTGAAGGAGCTTATTGAGACAGAGAAATACTACGTGGAAGACCTGGGGCTCATAGTGGAGGTAAACCTCACAGTCTTCCAGAACACACACTCTGCACTGAAAGAGAAGAGGGAACTTAGTCATCCACCCAGTCTGTCAGAGAGAGCTCTAAATCCTTATCATCACAATTCCCCCACTTTCCTCCACACTTTGGTCTGCTTCCATCCCACCGTCTCCAGTCTTAAGCAGATTTTGTGAATTATTATCTTGAAGAATATTATGTTGCAAGAGGCTCCGTCTCCTGGTGCCTTAAATAGCTGGAGATATTTTGGTTCAGAGTGAACCATCTGAAACATCTGAAAGTTAAAAGAAGCTCAATAATAGCTGGTGTATGATTATGGCGTGTGTTATAACAACCTAGCTATATTTACTGGTGTAATTCAGAGCCAGGTGTGGGGTGTGGGGTGTAAGCAGCTCTCTCATTTCCTTGCAGGGCTACATGGGCACAATGAACTCCACAAGTATACCGGAGGACATGAAGGGAAAAGACAAGATTGTCTTTGGGAACATTCATCAAATATTTGACTGGCATAAAGAGTAAGTCCCTGATTTTTTTAATTAAAAAAATACATTTCATCCACATTTGGAAAACTGTACGTTTGCTCCAGTTGCAGTCAAACCGAAAGACAAACAGTGATTTGCACAGTATTATCTTTGTGGCTGAGTGGAGGACAAAGGAACAATAGGTCAGGAGACAAATCTGACCTTCCGTTTTGGGGATGATTGTGCATGTGTGTGTGCATGTGTGTATTTTCTCTCTGTAGCTACTTCCTGGGAGAGCTGGAGAAGTGTTTGGCAGAGCCAGAGAGACTGGCTCAGCTTTTCATTAAACATGTGAGTATGAATTCTGTGTAGGCACACACACAAACACAGAGAGAGAGAGAGAGAGAGAGCGAGACACACACACACACACACACACACACACACACACACACACAAATGTGAGTGGAAGTGTCTGGGTCTGCTTCCTTGTGCTGTTTGGCATGAGAGTAAATAGAGCTCAGAAAACATGCAGAGCTCCTGTGTGTCTGTTACTGTACCTCTCTCTCCTGCACTCTCAACTGCCAGCGTCTCTCCTTCCACTACTTATAGACATACACGTGAACAACACACTGGCCGATTTCCAGTCTGGGCTGGACTGGTCAGGAAACGCCAGGGAAAAAACAGCCACAAAAAACAACAAGAACAAGACAAGGAATAACAAATCCTCAACTCAGGCTCTTTGATATGAAGGCTCTTTTTCCACCCAGAACAGCAACCTACTTTTTCTTACATATCTTGGCAAGAATGAAGCAAAGTGTGTAAGATTCACTGTTAATGTTCTTAGGATAGTATAGAGCCTGAGCCCACACAGGGCTTAAACAGGGAGCTAAATTAGACCTATTGTATATTGGTTAAGTGGTGGCACATGCAGATTGGGTAGACAAGATGAGTAATTTGACCAACTTAATTTTGCTTCTTGTCTGAAGATGACTAAGTTCAAATATCTGTGTCTCTCTTTTGCGATATTCACTTTATCTGTCTGTAGCCCTTTAAACAATTCAATAAAGCCCAGCCCACTGGTTAATCAACTTATGGGGGGAATAAAGAAATGTGTAACTAAATCTAAGCATGGTGTCAAACTGTGAAAACAAACAGACTGGGAACATGGCCCTAATGAAAAGCAGACCAAATCTGCTTTTAACAAGAGCTGTGTCACCAATATGCAAGTGTACTCACTCACACACGCAACATATAAAAACATTGGGACACTGAACGCTGGTGGACAGATACGCTCCACTCACAGTACACTCCGTCACATTTCACATGCAGCTGTCCTCTGCAGCATTACA